TATTGGGTTTGATGATACTTTTTTTTTTTATTCATGGAATGAAAGTCCAAATAAAGCTCTCTAGATACGATCTATCAAATTAAAATAGCTCATATGAATAGCAGCTAAGTCACAGTAAAGACTAGGAATTAAATAGATGTTTGCAGAACCAGATAAATCTAAAAATGGAAGCAACTCTTGTCATCATGCAAACATTTTGCATACCCTTACTGTCTCTAAACACCATGGAGTCCTTTTTTCCCCTCAGCATCAATTAAAAACAATTGCTTGGCTTGGTTCCCTAGACCATACATAGTGTTTGGATTTGCATTTGAATTCTGTCCCTCTGGTGAGGGTCTAATATCAATGACCCTGTGAAGGTTACTGAGTTACCTCTGCTTTGTAATGGATGGTATCATTGGACTCTTTTATTGTAGTGATATGAAAAAGATATCACTGGTAATAGGGTTGACATGATTCCCTCTTTTCCCTCACTTCTAGAATATGGGATCAAACCAGATCAAACCCTTCCCTCTCCCTCTTCCCTTCTATAAACCGGAACCCTTATGATGCTGCAGATCTGATTTCAAAGTTAAATGAGGTTACTCAGAGCCTTGTGTAGTCAACGTCTGAAACCACCCAAGGGTTGAGATGCCACAGCCTCCAAGCCAAGTCTTCTACTGGTGTCTCAAAACTGTACATAGCATTCCAGGTGTTGACTCTGTTTCAGAGGGATATTCCTTTTCCTTTACCTGTGTAAATTTATATAAATGTTTGTTGGTTTTATATGTTTGTATTCCCATTTTATGTAAATATGGACAGATTGAGGTGATTATTCACCTCTACTGTGTATATATATAATTATGTAAAAATATATGAAATATATATATTTCATTTTATGGTATCTATGTTTTTGTATGTATGAATGTGCATAGGTACGTACACACATATTTCAAAACAGGTATTTGAAAGGGATTTGCCATCCTGGATGTAGGTACAGATTTGAGGAAGAGTATGACTGAACCTGCTGCAGCTGCCTGATTAACAGCCATTTGTGTTTATCTAGTACATACAGGCAAATACACCTAAAGCAAGTAAAGATAATACTTTTCAAAATTCCTGAATGGTGAGAACTTACTTGAAAGAGTTGCAGGTTTATTGCATAGACAGATTTGTTGCTTTGATTAGAAACATTGTTTTCCTGTGTTAAGTTGGATTAAAATATTTTCACAGAATCATTTAGGTTGGAAAAGACCTCTGAAATCCTCAAGTTCAACCTTTGACCCATCACCACCTTGATTTGCTTTTGTTCATTTGAATATTTTCAAAGATGATGCATTTTTTACTTATTGTATTCAAGATCTGGATGAATCACAGTAAGCCACTACCAGTGTTTGCAAATACATCTGTTTCTTATGCAGATCTTGATTAGTACAAAAAAAGAAATATTTGTAAGAATAATGCTTGATTCATGCTTATTAAACTGTTTATAATGTGCTGACTCAGTGACTGAGAGGAGACCAATCCCCAGAGAAAGCACCAAATTTAGTCTAATGTGTGCAAATAATGGATTTGCATTAACACTTGCTCCATGTTCAGGATTTAATTCCTGCAAATGATCCCTGTACTGTTACTCTTAACATGGGTTTGCTTTTTACTGTCTAAAGTCAAATTTTTCTACTTGTCCAGCTACTGCTTTGGCAATGTAAAGGGCCCCTTTTCCCTCTGGTAGCCTTTAGGCACCTCAAGACTAAAAGACTGGGTGAAGGAACATTGGTTTTAAGAATCATGTTTCACTATCTCCAGAGATGCTTCTGAAGCTAGATTGTGGGAAAGTACCATGTATAGGATTCATGGCTCCTGCAGTAGAAAATAAGGTCCTTTGGGTTGCTGAAATGCAGTTTAAGGATGCCCTCGCACCTAAATTCCTATTTATAAGTCTCTCTGCTCTTTGCATACTCCTGGTTGTCTCGGCCTTAGTCTGTGTTACAGTCTTAGGCAGTACAATTATGAGTGACTCCAGAGCTGCATTTCAAGCCAAATTTGCGAATCATCCAGACTGTTGACCATCTGGAACAGATCCTGGGCTGGCTCTGAAGCAGTCCAGCTGGTACTCAGGCTTTCCCTGGACTGCTTCGTGGACAGGCTCAGGCGTTGTGTGCCCAGCCCAGCTGCTGCCTTGTATTCCAGCTATCCTTGCATTAGTGTCACATATCGTGATACAAGATAGCCTGGACTCCTTCCTAAATGGGGCCAGGCGTTCTCTTCCAGAAGAGAAGATGACATTGGAACACAACCTGAATGCAAGCCAAGTTTTTGCTGTTCACAGAAATATAGCTTAGTCTGTGGGTAAGGTACAGTATAGACATAGCCCGTGGACCTCAGATCCCCATAAATAGCACAAGGAAAGATATTTCTCCGTCATATAAAGGTGTTGTCAGGATACAGACATGCTACTTTTTGCAATGCCTAGGTAACACTGTTTCGAGGAATGTACCAAAGACAGATTTTTTTATTTTTGTAGTTGAAGTGGGATTTATATGGGTAAATGAATAGTTTTTATCTGAGTCTAATCTAAGCTGGTCATCCACGGTTATCTACAATTGGTTAAAAAAAAAAAAGTACTTTTATGCCATGATTCTTCTGACCTGCTCAGGTATTTGCTTTAGGAGAAGAACTAGCCTAGGTCATGTCCTGAGATGTAAGTGGATGGCTAGTTCAGAAATGGACAATTATAGTACGGCACAGTAATGACAGCTCATGTGTATTCAGACAAGTTAGTTGTGTATATAGCTTCATTTTGATAAAATTATAGAGAAAGCAGTAAATGGTTTACAGAAATCTGAAATACTGACTGGTTTTTACATACAAAAGACTGAACTGTATTTTAAGGCACAACCTTAGAAACTGGGAATATGAATCCATAGCTCCAGCAAGGATGACAAACGAAAGTGATTAGAAAATTTCTATCAGAAGAGATTATCTAGGGAAAAAACTATTTATTAATTTGTTTGTCTATGATATTTTGCTAATAATTTTATAATGAAAATCCCATGCCACATGACAAAAGCTTCCTACTACACCATAGGCCACTAAACGGGGTGGGAGTGTGTGTGTATCTGTCTATGGTTCTTGCAGATTTACTGGTGAATTCAGCTGTGGTTTTATAAATCCTTTGAACGGTTGTCCTTGTTTTAAAATTTAACTTTTTTTCAAATGTTGGTATACTTTGCCAGTAGACAAGTATGTTGTTTTGATTGAAAATGTAAGCTCCATTCAAATTAGAATACTGGTTATGACTATCCTCAGAGCCAGGGTAGGGTTGGCTGCCGTAAACTGGCCATGGCTGATTTTCAAGCTTCAAAACCTTTGTTTCTATCAAGACCTCATCTGTGGACATTGATCGTGTTCAGATCTGCTGGAGCGTTAAAAAAAGAAAAGAGAAACCTTTAAAATTTGAAAGGGTCTGACTTCACTGGAAAAATTAATCAAAAGAATTATTGTCAACAACAAGGTAGAAGTTGGCAGCTCTTAAAACGTGGTGTGTCAGATACGCTGTCTCTCACACTTCACATGAGTTTAGGCCTAACTTAAATAAAATGTGTTTTTAAATTAATATTTTTAGAATAATTTTAAATTTTACTTCCTGAATTTTTAAGATCTAAATATTCCTGAAATTTATTTCTCTTTTCTTGCTAAGCATGGACTTCCATAGTAGCTCCTGTAATTGGCGCACCACAGAAACAAATACTTGTATGAAGGAAAATGTTTCCTCAGAGACTTTCAAACTTTAAAAGATTCATTCTCACTCAACTTTCCTTCATGTTTATTAGAAAAAAATACAGAGAGAGAATACCCTTTTTCTCCAAATATGATGCATTTTTCTTCCTAATTGAGTTTATGTTTATGTTTATGAGGTTACTGTGAACTGAAGTCACTTGCAATCTAACGTCCTAGAAAAGCATTCAGGTATCTCCTATATTCCTGTTGCGGAAATCCCAATGAATGTTGGCTTTTTTAAGTGTTGGCTGCATTTTTTCTGTTATTTAAAAATGTGTATAAATCCATAGACTATAATATGACACTATTTTTTTTCTAACATTCCAAGGTAGACAGTATATGGCTTTATTTTCACTTAGAGTGAATAAAATGATTGATTCTTCTGAAATCCCTTCTGATAAGAACCAGAAACAAACATAAGAGAATGCAGATACAAGAGGGAAGGAGTAATGCCCTGCTTATGTATAAAGTTCATTAGGAATGACTGGTAAGGGAAGAGCATGGCTCATGAACATATGGGAAATCAGTTTACTTCAGAAAACTGAGGGCGAAAGGAAGGGATGTCTGCTTTTTATTAAAACCTGAAATGCATTATAATTGTCCTGAATCTTTGCCCAGATGGCTTCTCTTATGCTGACATCTGCAAGAGTGTATATAAAGCAACATTAAGAAGCTGTCTCTTGTGACACTGTGTGCACATGTAATTCTGTTAAAAACTAAGTCGTTTGCTATCTGTAGTGTTGGACTTTGAATAAGCATGCTGAGAAATGTCATTTGTTTGACAAAAACTAATTATGGAACATGCTTTTTTCATGGAAAGTTTCTACTACATCTGAAAAACTTTTTAGGGCTTTTCATCTATTTTTGTAGATTCTTTTTCATTCCTCATCATAAATTCCAGGTAAAGTGGGGGTTTTTTGTCTCCTTTTGGTTTGTTTTTTAGTTTGTTTTGGAGTTTTTTGTCGGGGGAAAACACAGCATTTCTTATTGCAGTCCTGTGTATTTTTTTCTAAAATTTAAGTGTAATTATTTTGAATATTCACATGTGAATTTAGGCTGTTTTCCACTGACCAGTGAAAAGCTTAAATGATACTAGGATGTCCATTTCCTATTAAACAGGTTGGATGATGGCAGTGGATGCAGTGTAACATATCCATTAGTCTGTTCATTTGTGTCTGTAACTCACAGGGTAATACTTTTTTAAAAATAAACTGTCAATATACTGCTTCTTCCTCTGTCAGACAACAGGAAAATTAAAGTCAATGGCACCAGGGAACCTATTGAGTTTAAGACAAATCAGTGGTTTGGAGCAACAGTCAAAGCTCATAAAGAAAAAGTTGTGGTAAGTCTTATGCATTTAGTATTCATTTGGAGATAACATTTATTTTTCTCAAATGTGTATCTTTAATAACTCTCTATGTGTATATTGTGGAAATAACTTTGATTATGCATGAATTATAAAACAGATGATGTATATAATTCAGAAAATGAAAGCAACTTAAAGAATCAGGTTGAACTGATCGAGTGAAGATGATTCTGCTGCCATATGAAAACAGCAGAATGCCATATTGTTATGGAAGTCAATGATGATATTTTTTTAAACAGATAGTGGACATACTTTAGAGATACAAAGTTACTGATAGCTCTATGCTATAAAATGTTTTGTATTACGAAGGTATATTTGGAATGTTAAGTACAGAATATAAAGAAATTATATGTATTGCAATGTAATGAAATGTAATGAAAGCCAAGAACCTCTGCTGAAGTTCAGTTAGTAAGAGAAAGCACTGATCTCTTTTGTCACATTTACATTGTTTTCAGCAGCTATGTCATAGTCATGAAAAAAGTCATCAAAATAACGCTCTAAACAAGATGGCTGTCAAACTATAATGTCTGGTTTCCAGTTTCCCTGAACATTTTTCCTGTATTGATAGAGGCCCTTAGCAGTGAGCAAGTATTTTTATTGCTTAGTAAAGTGGTGATGATGCATCTTATACACAGAGATTTTATATTTCCAATTTATGCACTTATTGATAATGGCATTGAAGTAATTGTGATAAGAAAAATTAGTTTGTTCATTAGTGTTATTAGTTTTGACTATTACAAAAACAATAATTTGGTTTTGGATTTGCTTAAAACTTCCAATTATTACTTTAAAAAGTAGTCATAAGGGAGGAAGTATCAAAAGGAAATGCTTTCCCTTGTATCGTATGCCTTGTGGTTAACCTCGTGGAAGGATTTTGACATAAAACAGATAATGAATAAAACATCACCCTATTCTGTTATAGAGCTAAGTAAACATAAAAATTCTAAAAAATTATAGAAATAGCTGAAGATATTTCATTTTAGTACAACAGTTCACCAATCAAAATAAAGTACTTCTTTACCAGCATTTGCTAAGTCTTAATTAAGTGAGCAGAAAACCTCATCACCTGAGACAGTCTGATGTGCTGTCTCTGTACCAACAACACTGTTTTATTTCTGATAACTCTTCTCCGAATGAAATGGAGATAGAATCAACACTTTTCAGGCAAAAATTTGGACAGCAAAGCTCGAAAACCTTGTCTGTTAATCTTGGTAGGCTGAAAGGAGAGAAAAAGAAAATGACATCAAACTGTCAGGAACTTTTTAAAGCTACAACTATCAAATGGACCTAAAATCACCCACACATGACACTTACTCCTCTTTCCTGCCTCCAGTTTTACTCTCTGTTTTAATATGTAAGGTTTTCTAGGCAGGGGCATGTTAAGAGTATCTGTTCCTTAAGCGATTGCTCCAGAAGCCCTGACTTTTATGGCAAGCTCTGAGTAGCACAGTGATTCATCCAGCTGGAACTGATTGCAGATCGAAGGCTTATACAGTAGTGTAAATAATAGCAATACTTTTCCAGAGGCAGACAGATTTCTCGTTGGAAAAGTAGGACAAGGTAGGACATGAATGAAGAATTTATTTGTATCTTGCAGAGGCAAGGTTGTAGGGAGAGGTAGTGTCTTCACCCTCCCAGGAAGTGAAACGTTTTAGGGCACAGGACCCCCTGAAGCATGACTTGCAGACCTGATAGTTTATTATTTTTATTTTTCTAATTATCTGGATTACCTCCAAAAAAGATACCTCTCTCTACACAACTTGTATATCATTTATCCTTACTACTGTAACACAGATTAAATATTAGTTCTCTAGCCAAAACTTATGTAGCAAAAAACTGTTTACTCAGACTTTTGAATGCATTATAGCTGTATCATATCTACAAAGATTCGAACCAGGGATTTATAAGAAGGAAGACAATCTGATGATTGTCATAGATACTATGACACAACACCCTGACAAATCTCCTTCTGCTAAGTGGAGTAGAGTAGTTGTGCTGCAATACCTTCTATCTTAAGACATACCAGGACAGAACTGGGATTGCCTTAAGCCACATATATGTGATTTGCATCTTAAGCTACAGAATCAAGTCCTGTGCAATGAGCAGTAATAGAACAAAGATATTACTTGTAGAGCAGGCTTAGAGCATACTTGTAGCATGCTTAAATGTGCCTTTTAATCCCTCACAGATTTTGCCTGCCAAGGGCTGTAAGTAAAAAATCAGTGTGCTTTTCAGGTAATAATGAAATTATCTGAAGCAGTGGTCCTGCATTTTCTTCTGTCAATGTCTTGTGATCATTGCTGTATGAATGATTCAGTACCAGAGAGAATCGTTGTACACAGTTTATTAAAAACTGCATTTGCCAGATGTGTGAGCGTGTGAAAGGTATGTGTGACATTGTTTCTACTTTGATAGGCTTGTGCTCCTTTGTATCATTGGAGAACCCTTAAAGATAGCCCTGAGAAGGACCCTGTTGGCACCTGCTATGTAGCAATTCAGAACTTCAGTGCTTATGCAGAATATTCACCTTGTCGTAACAGTAAGTGTTAATATGAGCAATCCTTTGTTGAAGGAACTGATATTGTGCTTAATGTTTTCATCCTTTCAGTCTTCACACAGTCTTAGTTGAATGAAGGTTGCTATATGATGTTATTGCATTAAATGAGAGTGTAAAGAAAAATCAACATTAAATTATATCCCTGTAATTGGATGCTTTATTGTATAATTAATTGAAAGAGGAGAAATTAAGTAAATTGCGTGCAGTTATAGTGATGAGCTATAATTGGTTCAATTTGAATGGCTTTAAAATGCAGCCAGATAAGACAGATCTAGATAAGAACCAGACAGCATTTTAAACCAATTATTCCTACTCATGCTGAGTATAAATCTCTCATCACAAGATCATCATTTGAAGACCAGACCCTGCACAGAAACACACAAGCCTGTATCACCATTCATGCCAATACCATCCACAATAGCTCATTTGTGAAGAACTTTCAGCATGGAAGAAAGGCATGCAAATTAGCACTGCTGCTACACACACTTCTCTGTCCTGTTCCGAGGATGCAGTAGCCATCCCGGGGCCTTGCTTCTTGGGGAATAGGGAAAAACTGCATGTATATTTAGAACCACATTCAGTTACCTAGAAACCTGGAGAAAATACCACACATTAGATTGTATCAGTCATTCATCTCATTCAGCACCCTATGACTAATTGTTTATGATGGTTATTAATACCCTCATTACCTCAGTGCTCCATATCATTAAAAGCAATATGAAATATCCGATGACTTTACTGAGCTTTGGTTTGAGCTGAATCTATGGCAATTTCTACAGTACAAATCAGAGAATTTTCTTTCAGTTACTTTTTCTAAAGGTAGCATGTGTAAGATACCAAATATGATGGGCTTACCTATCCCTTCACAGCAAAACTGTGGCAGTGTTCAGTCTCACTGATGAGTAGCTCCTTCAAGTTGTGTGCACCAGCTGATAACACAGGGAGTCTGAATGTAGTTCCTTGTCATGAGACCCCTTGTAAGAGATTGTGCTATTATGGATAACGTTCTTGCTGTGTGCACATGGGCTAATTTGAAATCACACTTTTTAACTGTTCCTCTGCTGCAAACTGTGCTCCTGCCATAAACTTTCTCATGGATTATTTTGCCAAGAATGCAACAGGCATTTTGCAGAAAAAGTAGGCATAATTAAAAGGTCTCTTTCCTGTGGAGATCTAAAGATAGCATCAGATCTTGTAGCTGGATTTTGAGACATCTGACAGATGTGTGATAATGTAGCCCAATAATGCTTTCTGTGGTCTATCAGAAATCTGCACACCAATAGTGACATGAGATATCACATCGCTCTCTGGTTTTCCTCTTCCCATATTGAGGTATAGCACTAAACAGAGTTGTGCTACATCTTCCTTTAAAGCTTAATCCTTGTCCCTGGATGGACAGGTGGAGAAGAAAGCTGAATCTGTAAGAAATAGTGATCATAAGATCTGCATCATGTACTTCTAATGTCTCACTGGGGCTTTGACAAAGGCTTATGTCTTTTGAAGACAGAGTTCAAGTGACCATTCCTGCAGTCTTTCAGCATTCTGGCACAGACAGAATTGCCCTAAAATGCATGCCAGCACACTTTGTACAATAACATAAGGATTTGTAGACTAGAAGTAAGAGTAGAAAGAAGCAGGAAGATTGGTTTTGCCCGTACAAATGTGCATCCAAAATTATATTACACTTCAGTCCTCATTGAGCAAATGTGCATCAGTTAAAGGGCTGACCCTTGCAAAGGACATGTGTCCCATGCCATAGTACAGATAAGCTGGATGTTGTCTGTATATTGACCCATCCTGACCCATCTACTATGTCAACATTTTCTGAGAATGCCTTAGTAAACACTTTTGTATTTATAGCAGATCAGACTGTGATGAACATTCTACAATTTCTTATTGTTTACTTTTTCATCTCCAGCCAAATTCAAACTTATTCCCTGATAGCTGTTGCAAGGGTCCTTCCTTGGCAGTGAGGGGAGAAAGTCCCAAGTAGCAGGTCCTATTTTTCAAAATCTTCACAAGGGGCTGCATGTTCAGGGTACTGTAGAAGGTCTTGATTTGCTCTGCCTCTTCTCAAAAAGAATACATATTTTCACATATTTTGAGAGATTTGCATTTACAGCCTTATAGCTCCAGAGGTGTGTATGCTATCTTCCACATGCACTGGGAAATCAATAAAATGCTTCTACCTTCATAATTGCAGGCAATGCAGATCCTGAAGGACAAGGCTTTTGTCAAGCAGGTTTCAGCTTAGATTTTTACAAGGTGAGATTCTGCTTCTGAAGTATTTTGACCAAATGTAGTTGTCATATATCTCTAGTGTTCAAACGCTGCCTCAGTGATCATGAGTTTATCCCCATGCTGTTGCATATGGAAAGTTTTGTTAAGTTGTTGCAAGGTCTTTCCTCCTTTTCAAGTTCCAAACATTTGGTTTCATTAATAAAAGAAATACTCAATCAGCACCTGTTTATCTCTTTGCAGCACTCCAATCTAACTCTGCTCAGTCTATCTTAACAGATAATTAGGCAAACAATTGTATGTGCTTCGATCTCAGTCTGTCCCACTTACAATGCTTTACATGGACTTGACTTTCAGAAAGTAATGGGCAGGCACCAGCTAGTTTTAAGAAGTTTAAACAGCTTGTATAATGATGCTTTTGGAGGCAGAGTAGTCATTGAGTAAGACCATTCATGTGGCTGTTAAACTGTTTAAGGGAAAGAACTAGTTTTTCTTAATACCAATATTGTGGGACAAAGGATAAACTTTGCAGCTATTGTTATTATCTGTGCCATTATTACAGCACCAGGGCCTCACATAACTTTGACCATTGTCATTGTTTTCAGTGTTCTGCAGCTGCATTTTTATTTACATTATTAATAGCTATGGGGCTAAGACCTCCTTGTAGGGTAGACAAAAGTATACTTCTCTATAAAACATTACTGTTGCTTCATTGAATATAAAGACCCTCTTTTATGATAACTGTGTTTTGGTATAAATAAGCAGCAATTCTTAGAGTGCTGTGTTAGCAGTAAAAAAATTACATCTTTCATTCAAGTTGCACAGGGTAATCTTAACATTTTTTAACTCTGGATTTTTCTGTACATCCATGTACATGCTTTCCTTGAACATGGCTATTCTCCTCTATCATGATTCTGATATTATTTTGGTCATTTAAATAGTTTTAACCCATGCATGCTTACTTTTGTGATGTTCTTTTGTTGTGTAATTTTATTCAATTCTGCTTTTTGTAGAATGGAGACCTGATCGTAGGCGGGCCCGGTAGTTTTTATTGGCAAGGTATGTTCATCTGGCTGGGTAACTTGATCTAAGAAGTGAAGCAGAAAGTATTGTTGTTCTAGATTTCCATTGTTTTGTCGGTTTAAGATAACCGGTCCCTGATCTTATTTTCAACAAATGTAAATCAGAAGAAATGCTTAACAAGCAACTGAGCATAAAAATAAGTCAGGGAAAATTCAGGATGTAGGTTATATAGCAAGTGAAACAAATACAAATAACTATTTTTATGTTGGCATTTAAGCATACTTGTAATTTAATTAATAAATTTAATTTTTCCCTAGAAATAATGCAGATTTAAAAATACCTAGTATTTATACAGCAAATGTACTTTTAAAAAAGTTTTTGTTACTGTTTGTTGCTGAGCACAACCATTTAGAATTATCTGCATATATTTGAAGTTCATTTGTGGCATCACTGTCGTTTCCAAGATGTAGTTTCTCATGTAGATAAAACCTAAAGTTGTTTTGGTAAAGGGTTAAAAGGTTATTTTTGTTTTAACCTGTTTTGACGGGTATGATATAGCTGATTCCCAGCCTCTGCCTCCCAACTTGCCCGTTTTCAGCCTCTTTGATGTGTGTTTTTGCATTGTCTTTAAAGAAGGAAGACCTAATTGATTGTTACGGTAGGGAATTCATAGCTCTGAATTCTCCCTTGAGAAATTGCTTCCCTTGGTCTACTGCATTCATGCGGTGCAGTGACTTTAGTTTGAATCAGCACATTGAAATGGATCTGGAGATGTTTTTGTGATGGTTCAATAGAAATTCAATGCCTTCTTGTATGGATTTATGTGTACTCTTGAGACTTTCAGAGTAATAATGGACAAAGATTGAGAGAAGGTATCTATTCTTTGCATCCATGTTGTATTATCCCTTCAACTCTGTTCTGATCTTCTGCAAGCCCTGTTTTGTGGAATCTGGCTCTCTTTTATGCTCCTTTTATTTATGAAGCTGTTTGAATCCAGGTCAGGTAATCACTGCAAGTATTGCGGACATCATTGCAAATTATTCCTTCAAGGATATTCTGAGGAAACTGGCAGGAGAGAAACAAACAGGAGTGGCACCACCCTCATATGATGACAATTACATGGGTAAGCTAAGCTTTATATAAGATAGCAATATGTTCTAAAAGCATAAGTCATATGTATATGAAAACAAGCCCTAAATTACTACTGTCACAATTGTGAGAGGGTTTCAACATGTTTTGCCTAAAGCACAATAGCAAACCAGTAGTTTGCTGGTAACTTCAGTGAGATTATTAACATTCTTAAAATTATGCAGAGCAACAGGGTTTGAGGGTTGAGATCTTAAATGACTTATTAGGGTTCTTATTATTTGATCTTAAATAATTGATCAGAAATACAAATTTTTTTTCATTCCAAGATGATGGATTGAACTTAAACTAATTAAAGACTACTTTAATTTTTAATAGATAAAAGAAAATTCAGTTCTGCGGTATTTTGTACAGTACTGCACACATACCTAATTTATTCTTACTGGTATTTAAAAGATACAATTGAAGTAAGCAATAATAAAAGTCAGTTTGAAGATATTGTGTAATAAATAGGAAAAAGGCTCCTTATCTACCTTATATTAGTACTGATCTCAAGAATTTTCATGATATTCACATGTCTCTTCATGTAAGGCAGGTTTTTCTTCACATAGTTATAGAAAAGAGTCAGTGGAATTGGAAGGCAAAGATGCATCCTTTCACCCCTGCTCATGGATTTGAAATTACACTCCCTGATACGGTCCAAAAGTCTTTACTGTGACAATAGCAACTACCTCACAGTTTTACTAACGCTCCAAGAGGTGCTTCACTGCATCTGTGGAAATCTATCTTCCATATAAAGCTCAATCAGGACACTCACACATTATAGTACAGTAATGAAGACCTAAATTGTGTCAACAGGTGTCAGGGTAAAACACATAGGACCTGCTGTTTTTTTCAGATAAATTATTGATGATTTAGAAGCTCATTTTTGGAGAAGAGGGATCAATTTATTATACATTCAGACGTTCCATTAATTTAGTCATAATTATGTGATTAAAAATTTTCCTTTTTTCCCCACAGTTTTAGTATACTAATGATAGAAAATTTGCATTCAGATGATCACCTGAACATACAAATTTGATTGGCCTTGCATATTTTTTGAAAGAAATTATTTATCAAGTTTTTTTTTTTTAATTTATCTTTAAACAGGATACTCAGTAGCTGCTGGGGAATTTACTGGTGATTCTGAACAAGGTAAGAAGCTATGTAGTTGAATGAAAACCATACGGCCGTGCACCTATTAAATTCCTGGTTTTGGGTCTCTACGCAGGAACATACCTATTATACATTTGAAACACTGGTGAGATTTAAGCTGTCTGTAAGGCAAATATTTCCTTAGACAGTGTAGCATAACAAAATAGAATGTATGTACACAAAAATCTGAATCTGTTTTTATGGTATCATGCTCATGCATGTGGTCAGAAGTTAGTGCTGTGACAACATTGTAGATGGAGCCATTCAGTCTCACTTAATTTAGCCAGTTTGATGTGCTGAACTCATAACATGAAGTGTCGTGGCAGGAGAACTATAACCAAGCTGAACATGGTCTAATTTTTAAGTTGCAAAGTAAGTTTTGCTTGTGTTTTAGAAATTGAACAGTATTTTCCCTATGTCTCTGCAAGTTGGATCCAGTTTAGAAGAAAAGCTCCTGTCACAGCTGTGTGTTTAGTAAAGTATGTTAAAAATAATAATTTATAAATAGAAATTTGCTCATGATTTAGCTATTTTCAGATGTTCTGATATTGTAAAGGATTTAAAAACATGTAGTTAGCTAAAAATAACTGTGATCCCTTGTGTTTCATACCTGAAGAGCTGTGTTTCTTGTGTAAGGCCGACAGTCAGAAAGTATTCCTTAAGTATTCCTTTCTTGAGCAGGTGAGCAGCTATGTGGTCCAGACTCACAAAGCCAATAGAGATATGGTACATTTCCACAAATGAACCCAGCTCTCCAGAACTACTGCTGCTTAATCCCTCTGAAGTTAGAATTGCCTGTCCTGTGCTAAGAAGTGTTTAAAAAAATAAGTAAAAAAAGACACAATTTTGAGCCAAACACTATGATATGTGAAATGATATATCCCTGGTAATGGAAGGCCGCATTTTTTTTCTTGTTTTTTTTAATGCATACTCAAAGTTTTATAATGGATGACTCCTGAATCAGTAAGTCATGTGAATGACTGGCACAGAAAATTGCATAGTTGGCTGACACGAGCCAGCGTCCTGTTCAGTCCTTCTTTATTACTTCTGTTTCCCCTTGACCAAACACGTTCAATCACAGGGAAATATATAAACCCAGAGAGGAATAGAGGAATGATAGATCAATATGGATGTCTGCGGTGCTCTAACTGAAATTCCTTCAGCTGTCTTCTGACATGGATATCCTAATGAGGGAAAGTTTAGACAATAAGGCTGCAGGCTGTGACTTGGCTTTTGCCTTCTGATTTTTTTACCTGTTTTTTCTACTAGCTGTTTAAAATTTCGCCATTGAGCAGATTTACTCATAGAAGGCAGGTTGGTCCAATGTTTCATGTTCTTGTTCAATGGATGTCTCCAGTGCTGCTCACAAAAACTTCCTGGTAACACTTTTAGACAGCCTGTGCAGAACTTGTCAAACACTTCCATGGCATCAAGCGAAATAACGGATGAGACAGATTGTTGTGTAGCCAAAACAAAAAGAAGTATTTGTAAGGACAGTTGTTTTCAGCTTCTGTACTCTAGTATGGGATGCTAGGACTAATTCTGGTTCCAGCAATCCACAGCTGTCAGGTAGCAAGCTGAATTGTACCAAAAGTTTTATTATGCTGTGCTATGCTAAGTAATGCTAGGCAGAAGGAGACCTATGGATGAGTGTGTTCAAAAGTCAAGGTGTAACTTTTTATGCAAGTAGATGCACTGAATGAATGTTAAAATCTTATTAATTAATGTCTTGAAGTGATTTACAGATCTGATACATATCACAAATCAAAATCCTTAGGGGTTTGAGATAGATAGATAGATAGATAGATAGATAGATAGATAGATATCGAAGGTTTAAGTGGCACAGGATGCATGTTGCATGCACCACTCAGATAGCATAACCAGTTTACTGTTGATCATTTATCCTTTCAGAGCTGGTTGCTGGAGTCCCGAGGGGAGCACAGAACTTTGGCTATGTATGTACTGGACCCTCATTTTTTCCTTTTTATAGTGAGAAAGCAATTAGACTATTTGAAAGGTTAAAAGCTACATTATATTTTCTGTCTCTTTAATAAAACACTTTTAAATCAGAGAAAACTGTCACTGACTTTCACCCTCAGTCTTACCTGGCTGGGTTGAAATGCCTTACTGGTTTAGGCTTTGAATGGTAAGCACTTAGTACCTTCCAAAGTCTGTTTTCAGTAGGCAATTACAAGAATGCTTAGAGTGTGACTAGTATCTCTATACTCACCTAGTGTTATCAGACCTAAGTTTACCCTTAGGTTAGCACATTTCATGTCCAAGGCTGTGTCTGCAGTGGAAAGGAGTCCAAGTTCAGATTATTCATACCCACTGTTTACTTTCAGTGCTGAAAGTATATACACTGCATACCAGATGCAAAGAATCATGATAGGAAGTTAGAAGTGAAGGGAGAAAACAATACACATTTGTGGATACAACTTTTACCTCATAGGAAAAAAGTTTCACAATTAACCTGATTGGGAAAAGAGATCCCAGTCACAGACGTATTCTCTAGTTTTGTGGACCCAGAATTCCTTGTATCTCTGGAACTTGCTCTTAAAAATTTTCAGAAGAAAGGTGTATATGTATATATGTATTTATGTATGTATGTATATATTTCTTTATGTTTTAAGTTCATGTTTTTGTGCCTAGTTACTGATTAGCTGATAGTCTTGTGATTTGTTGCTGTTCAGTGATTAGTAAAGAAGGGAAGTAGTCTTTTCCTTATTTTATTCATGGGGAACCTGAGTCATAAAATCTTAGTGATTTGTTCAAGATCATACAGGAAAACCATAGTGATATAGAAAATAATTGTTTCTTCTTGGCCACTTGGACCATCCTGCAGTGTGTCAAATTGTTTTGCATTGATGTCGTGTTGTAGCATCTCCATGTGTGCTTGAAACTTTCCATATTTTTCTGTTACCAGGTCTCAATTATTAATTCTTCAGACTTGACCTTTATCCAGAACTTCACTGGTGAACAGGTAATGTCAAGCAACTACATGATGAAATATTATATCTCTAGAGGATATAGTTTCATTAACATAGTTTCAAGAATATATAAAATAATTTTTGGTATTAATGACCATAAAAACAAAGGGGATTATCAGTAAAAACATTTTAAAATTAATATCTGATATGAAAGCCTATCTGTTGTTTTTTATTTCCAGATGGCGTCTTATTTTGGGTACACAGTTGCAGTATCTGATGTTAACAATGATGGGTAGGTTACCAAATATATTCAGCTCCACTGAACATTCATAGAAGCAATGCCTGATATTTATTAATAAATGCAGGTTTTCAGGTGCTTCATACCTCAAAATGCTTTTCTTGGCTTCTCTGCTTTTCTAATTTTAATTGTTCACATAGGCTTATTTTTGTGTAATCACAGTGGCACAAGTATTTGCAGGCCTAGTTTGGGTGAGTTTGTCTTTTGGAATATTTATTCATAGGAGTGTGTAAGAGTGGGAATGTCCAAAGTCTTAGGAAACAGATCCCGGTAGGAAAACAATGAATAACCAGCACTAGCTACAACAGGGAAGAGATAGGTGAAAGTGAAAAGTTCATTCTCCCATTCTCAAAAGCAGGTAAGTCTTCTCACATGTGCGCCATCCATAGCTTCACTTCTCAATTTTAAAAGCTTTCCAGTATCATCAGCTCCTCATTCCTCATTCCAGCACCTGTTGTTTGGCCATCCATTTTTATCATCCCAAGGACTAACAAGTATCTATGTCCCATAGCTGTTATGGCAGGCATTCTGCGTGTCTGAGGGAGAACACTGCTCAGCTCCCAGGGTCATGCCTCAGACACTTGGGTATTTCAGGCCCTGTTGAACAAAACATTTGTTAACTTTCAACTCATGTAAAGTTTGATTAAGTATTTCAGAAGATTAGGACTTTAGTGAGGTAATATTGATAGTGGCTTTTTAGCAAAAAGGTAAAGATCCCTAAAGCTCAGAGTCTTGGTAGGCTGCACAAATGTGAGCCAGGACTGTAATTTAGAGATGTGGCATACTCTTGTCTATTGCAAAGTGTCTCAGATGTGTCTACCTCATATTTTTTTCTTGTGATCATTTCTTAATAGGTTCTTAAATATAGAGCATTAAATAATTTTTCTGGGCTAAATCATTGCTTCCCATCATTGACTAGCGACCCTTTAAAGAGTGAGGGATACAAGAAAAGAGAAAAGTAAAAAGGTCGTAAAATCTTATTGCAGTTACAAAAGAAAACAACAAAAAACCAGAAGTTTCAGCAGTTTCAGTGGTGGGTTCATTGTACTCAAATCTTTCAAGTTTCTGAGATCAAATTTTCGTAGTACCACAGCTTTTGAAAATTCGTATTTTTGTGACTGTATAGAGAGTCAGGATTAATTTTGTCCTACTAATGTATTACGAATGTGAAAGGGTGGAGAAACATTAATCTAAGTTTCAATAGACACTCATTAGACTTCCAGGGAACTTGCTATTTAACTTCTCACTGAACCAAACTATTTCTTGGCAGGTTATTTCCTGTTAACCGTAGGGTTGCTTGCCAGGTCTCATATTTTCTGTATACCTCTAAAACCACAGTTTATGTCAATAATATAATCAAACTGTTGTTGAGGCCTGTGTGGTCTCCCAGTCTATATCTTAAAAGAAATCTAATGACTCTTCCTGAGATCCAAACATCCCACAGAAAACAAAACACAAAAAGCTCTACTTGATAAACATGTCTGATTAGATATGTAGTCTGTCTTTGTGGTTTGCACATATTGTCAATTGAAATATTTATCTGAAGAGTAAAAGAGAGAAAAAAAAAGGCAAGAGGGAAATTAGCACTTCAAATGCACTTAGGCTTTTTGCAGCTAAATGTAAGAAGGTAGTGATAGCCTTATCAGTATGAGAAACCTAATTATTTGCTGAAAAGATTAATAAAAAATTAATAGGAATGGCGCTTTGCTGTAGCTCAAAGATTAGGCTCATCCTAGGAAAAAAAGCCTTCTGTATACCTTCTACTCCAGCAGTTCTGCAGGTACGCTATGGTGACTCTTGCAGTTTTATCTGTACCACATCAGGATTGCAGGCAGGACAGGGAAATTGAGGATACTGTTTGAACTACTGTTTAGTTGTCTCCTGCTAATAATGAGAAATCCACAATGAAACTTAACAAATCAAGCTTTGCTGTCAACTCACAGGCTACATTCCTAGTAAAGAGGGAAAAAGAGAACACTTTCAATTTAGGCTGAAACAGTCCAATAAAAATAGTGAAATAAACTGTTTACTGGTTTTTTTTATTTGGCCTATATCAAAGCTTTCCATAGTTATACTTTGACCTCTTGACATTTCCCATACTCCTGCTTTTTATTACTCGGCAGGATACAAAGGAATGGCATACAGTCTCAGCAGGTGGTCAGCTTTGTGCTTTTTAAAGATTTTTTTTTTTATCAGAAGGGAAGTCATACTGGCTGGTTACCTTTCTGTGGTGGAACAAAAAATAATATATAATTTATGTTAACTGTAGCATCTTAATGCAGTAATGAAATAAATCCAATGAACCACTTCAAAATACCACTGCAAACTGAACAGCACTTCATGGTTGTCCAAGGGCTTTTGCTTTTGCTTTACTCTTATACTTTTTAAAAGGAATCACATCAACCTGAATTTGGCTCAAAACTCTCAATTTTGTAAACATAAACTCCTCCAGTTTAAAAGACCAATTGAAATACCCTCCTTCACCAACAAAAATGCATAATACTGATCACATAGGTACTTAGAACACAAGTACACCCCCCCACACACACCTCCTTGGCTGCTTGTTATCGAAATAATTAAACTGTAGAAGCTGGGAGGCAAAACTGACCAAAGAATGGTAAGAAGCAATTCCTTGCTCATTTTATCTACTTGGAGAGGAACGAGAAATAAGTAAATGAGGATTAGGGAGAGTTGGGTAGCTGACAAATCCTTCCTTTTTAGCTACAGTACAGTTCTGTGTTAGCTCAAAAAAACCCCGAACTCTAAACACAAACCCCTAGAATTGCCTGAGGGAGAATTCCATCTTGCAGAGGACTTGCTGAAGCAGCTCGCCTTGACCTACAGAGTTCAGCACTGGCAGAGAATGGAAAATCAAGAAAAATCAAGAGAATAAGGAAAGGAAGGCTTTGGTAGGGGTGGTACATGAGAAGACCTGGAGGGAAGGCAAACCAACTCCTGCGGGTGTTCCAGGGAGCTCTGCTGCCCATAACCAGTTTAGAAATAGGTCTGCCTTCTTTCCATCTTTCCCTCAGTACATCAGATGATGAGCCATCTTATCTATTGGGTTCTGATCCCTGCTCCCTGGACTATTCATGCATTTTTTACAGTCATTGTCATTTATTTTAGCAAAGTACAAATTTTCCTAGAAAAATAACCCAGCACTGTGCCCTTCTAGCTGAGATGCTGTGCTCTCTGCACAACAAGCTCCAACTCCTGTCTGCTTGTTTTCTGTCTCAGCTGGTGGATCTTGTGTTCTGGGTTAGGCTTCTGCTTAGAGAATTTTAGGCCATGATAGATAGTCTATCTCTCTTTTCACCATTTTAGGCACTCTGGATATTGCTCTATGAACTATAAAGTTACCTGGGTATCTATATATTTTACATCAATGTACTGGGAGCTTTCAGATTCAATGATTTGGTTCCTTACCACCTCTGAAAAAATCTTCCCTTAGTCTTACCATTGTTAGTTTGTAGAATATTCATAGGAGCCAAGCTCATCTTTTACTTTATGGTTTATAAAGCACATACCTCCATGGAGTCCCAATTTACTGGGAATATGTGGACTGCAATGTAATACAATAGTAATTGCTGATAATGCTACTGTGTAATGTTTTCAGTTCATGGCATACATAAAATAAGTTATTTTAAAAATAGTATTTGTGATTGGGTTTTGTTATTGCTATTGTTTCATGCTATTGTTTCATTTCAGCTGATATTCTGTCCCAAGCACAAACATCTTCCATTAGTAGAGGAGGACTTTTGATGTTTGGTGTGAAAGGAAAATTCCCACCACAGATGTCAAGTCAGCATCTGCTTCCTTCCTTTTTTAGTTATTCTTGCCTTAGGGTAAAAATCCAACATAAAAAAAGAACAGCTGTATCAAAGTGACATGACATTTTGAAATACAGTTTCCTTTATGGAAGCATTCTATAAAACTTAATAAAAAATAACATTTCTAGAAGTACTTTGTCATATCTTATAAAATGTGTATGTTCTACAATGTGATTAAAAGGCTTCTAGATGAGATATTCTGTGCTAAATTCTGTAGTATATATCTTAGAATCATAATATATACTTCTGGTAAAGTAGTAGCTGATCTAAATCATACAGATTTTTTTTTTTTACCAGGATTGGGAAAAACAATGTAGTGCAATTTTACTAAATTGGCTTACTAATAGGTAAATCCTCGGGAAAATGTTGGTATTGGGAATAAGATTAATTGGGAATAAAAGTTTTTCTATGAGTTTTACAAAGTTTGAACAAAGTTTCATATTAGAGCAAGAGAAAATGCTTTTCCAAATTAAAAATTTTGGTATCAAATAGTATTAGTTAATACAGATCATCAATGTCCACTGAATGTAATGGGAATTATTTTATTAGTTTGCATGGGCTTGAGAAGCCTTCAGCAGTTTTATACTCTCATTTAATATCTCAGAATTATCCATTAAAAATACTTATGCTTGTTATGTATCTATCAGTCTCACTGATTTTATTCTTCACTCTTTATGTCTTGTTTTCCCACTAAATAAATATTGATAACATGTTTTGAAACATGCCTACTTAAAACAACAACATGCAAAATATTGTTTATATTTAATTAGTTTGTATTCTTTGACTGATATGGAGTAACAAAATGGACAGAAATTTTCTGTTATTTTCCCTTTAAGTATCATATTTTTGTGATTTGATGATGTCCTTTCTCTTTAAAACTCCATATAGCAAATTATGTGAGCTGTGCAACTATTCATGTGCCTAATATTGAACAGAAGAGTTTTCAGAAATAAAGCTGTGGCTTTGTCTCCCAACTTTTATTGGAATTAGTGATGAGGCATTCTCTGTTAATTGATACTCTCCTTGTATTTCATGTATATTACTCAAAAATTGGCTATAAAGTGGCAGGGATTTTTTTTCTATTGTTCACTTACTGATGTATAAGTTGCAGAAACTAGATTTTATTCTAAGATTTGTCTCTCACTAGCGCTGTTGGCAGAACAGATCTACAGAATTTGTTCTAGTAACACAGATTCCCCATTAGTTAAATTGCTGACTTCAGGATTGTTAAGTGCAAAGTATAAGTTTTCAGTGTCTATTGTGAGTATAAATTGAAGTGCAAGAAATTCTGTTTAAATCTAAAAATAATTTCTTTTGCTGTGATGGTGATCAAACACTGGAAGCAGTTGCCCAGAGAGGTTGTGGAGTCTCCATCTATGGAGATATTCAGAACTGGACTTGGCATAGCTGTGGGCAGCCTTCCCTAATTGACCATGCTTTTTTAACAAGTGTTTGGACTAGAAATCTAGAATTGCCTTCTTACCTCAGTTAGAATATGACAATGATAATTATCAGCTTCCTCTTTAGCAAATGCCTAAAGTGTGTTGTTTGCACTGAATCTCTCAGTGACACTGCTTTTTGTTTGACTGTTGCAGTTTAGATGATATCTTAGTTGGTGCCCCTCTCTTTATGGAACGAGAATTCGAGAGCAAGCCTAAAGAAGTTGGGCAAGTTTATCTGTACCTGCAAGAAAGCGCATTCCTCTTCAGAGATCCTCAAATTCTGACAGGCGTGGAAGTGTTTGGTAGATTTGGCAGTGCAATCACACACCTTGGAGACCTCAATCAAGATGGATATAATGGTAATTTGTATGTAATGTAGTATATCCCTGTATAACGTTGAAATTAAAAATGGCTAAGCAGTGAATATGAAGTGTCTGTGCAGTGGCTGAAAAAGGCTTTTTAACTTGTAACAGCCTTTGAAGGTCATGAGAATTTACACTAATGTTAATGAAATTGATATTGAAAACCAAATCATGAAAAGCTTCCCAATAAGAGGGCAGTCATATTGACTATGGTGCTATTTTTACTAAATATTAGTGAGTTCATTTGAATAAAAATATTATTTTTTGGTTTATGACTATAATTACATTTATTTACTTAGTTAAGCTGTTTGCACTTGTTTAAAAGCAGAGTTCACAAATGCTGGGAAGAGTTTGAGAATTGAATGAGGCTCAGCACATGGAGCATTTTGTCAACAATGAAAGAATTGGACAAGTACAGAAGTAGTATTTTGGAATCAACCTTCCATTGGTACTTAGGCACCAAAAGAAACACTTGCATAATGGGTCCTTTTTTCAAATGCTTATAGCGCATGCACACAACAAAATGTTCATGTAAGTTAACTGGCAGCCTACATTCGAGAAAACAGTACAAGTAACTACCTAATCACCTGAGATGGCTGGAATGCCTTGAACACCTTGAGTTAGCCTCCTAGACATGGTCAGTAGCACCTTGGTTTTCCCTGCATGCATTTCCTTACTTATTTTCAGGGTGTTAGAGACCTTCAAAGCAGAAATCTCTGCGTCTAAAACAGCAAGAAGTTTTTCCTAGAGGAGCTATTTTGCACAGTAGCCTTTAAGATAGTTGGCCCACATAGGAAAAATTAATGGATTTTGCTCCTTCATAACTTGAGGGTGTTTTTTCACAGTGTTCTAGCCACTAGATTCTAGGGCAAGGTCCTCATTGTGTGGCTGCTGTGCAAGGAAAAAGTCATGTTGGGAGTCATAGGATTGTATTGGGATTCAGACTGCACAAAATACGAAAGCCATCCTGTGGGTAGAAGCCATTGGATTGTGACTGCTGCAAATACTCTCACTGGCTTGTCCTGGAATCCCACGGTGGAGTTCAGACAGCTGAACCCCATGGTGGAGACTTCCTGTTTTCTACCTGTGAGCAATAGCAGATGCCCTCAGCTACTCTGGGCAGGGAATGTTGGTCTGCTCTCCAGAATTCAGATAAGGCAGGCAGGAGAAACTGCTGTTTTTCTCTGTCACTGTGTGAAGACTAAGAAGAATCTTGAGCCAAAGTCTTCTGCTTCATAACTGAAGATGCCAGTTATAGAGCACTGGTGCATTTCTGCCTTTACAGTGAAGCTACAGATTCCAGGTGCTCAATTTAAGTTTAATAAAGAAGTTCAGCATCAGCTTCTACATCAGAACCTAAAAATTAGAGTTGTAGATGTGTATCCTTGGGTGTTTTCTATTGGCTAGCTCCGATAGTGTGGCTGTTGAATCTCAGTCTAGAACATGACTGTCTCCATATCCCATGCATAGGAAATAAGAAGAGTGCTGTGAGTTCTGCTTCTTGGATATGGCACCTCATTTTTAAGGACTGAAGTGTTTAATTGCACAGTGCCCAAACCCTCCTGTATATTCCTGACTTGGAAGTATTCTTATTTCTCAATAAGATGATGGCTTGGTATAAATGAAAACATGATATTCCATTGCTCTCTTTTGTATACTAAAGCATTGCATATTTAAGGGGTGGAATTTTTTTGTCTATGTAGAATATTTTATCTGGAAAAAGAAAATTAGTTTTATCTAACAGCTGTTCCTTTTTAATTAGGTGATAGAGGAAATCAAGGAAAATTTGTACCCGTTTAAAAATATTAAAGTAGAAGCAGGCATTCATTAAATCTTGGTTTATTAAAGCTAGTTAACTGCCCTGGAAATATGTAGAGGAATCCAGTGTGGACTGGCTATTTAGTATAATTCAATAACATCTTCAAAGGATTCTTTTATAAGCTTTTGTCATGAAACTTTGACACAGAAAAGACACTGCAAACATTTTTGAATATTTGCCTTAAAACTAGAAGTACAGAATGTTGAAGATCTTGCATGTTTGTAGCAGAAGCCGTTTGTGTCAGTTTTCCCACAATTTTTAATTGTGCCCATTCTTTTTTTTTTTTTCTTTTTTCTTTTTTTTTTTTTTGCACTGCAGACATTGCTATTGGTGCACCATTTGCAGGAGAAGACAGAAGAGGGAAAGTTCTCATTTACAATGGATACAGTAATGGGTTAAACACTAACCCTTCGCAGGTTCTCAATGGAGCCTGGGCCTCACAGTCCATGCCTTCGGGATTTGGCTTCACTCTAAGGGGAGACTCAGATGTAGACAAGAATGATTATCCAGGTAAGATTTTTCCATTAGAAATGGAATTTTATACTTCCATTCTCTGGAAAATGCATCATGCCTACACTGCTCCTTTTGGAAGGCAGAGGTCAGAATAAAGGACAGACATTTTTGGACAGTTCTTGTTTGCTTTCCTGAGAGTTAAAATCAGACAAAAACAAACACTCCCTTTCCTGTCAAAAGACATGATCAGAAAGTCAAGAAAGGGCTTAAATAGTTGTATTAACATAAAACATGTGAAGTTTACAATAAAAAGCTTAACCCTTTCCCCCCACTTCCAAAAATTGAAAGCTCTCAGCTTATTGAACTTGTAAGGTCTCCTTCATCCTGGCATTCTTTCTTAATTAAAAACATGTTGTATTGTAAAATAAGGGATCGACTTGGTTGTGTTGCTAAGTTATTTTTTGCTGTCAGAAGAGACACTGAACTGTATATAGTTAATGGCTTGGATTGCACTACAAAAAAGCAGAGAGAATACGAATTGCTTAAAGGTAAATACTTTATTTGGACCTTTCTGTCTCTGTTTTCATTTTGCTACATGGACTCCTCATTTTTAGGTTAGCTTTGATTCTTCCTTATTAGCTTATCTAATAAAGTAGGTATTTACATTTGTCAAGTTTGTAACTTGATAAGTTAAGTTTCACAGGGAAGTATTTATTTTTTAAAGAAATTTTTTTCTAGCACTTAAGTAGTCTGAGTGTGAGTGTACTTGTATTTACTCTCTCTCCTCTGGAAGCAAATACGTTCTGTTTCTTTTCATCACAGTTCAGAAGCCTTAGCAAGGGTGTGCAGTAAAACGCCATATTTTGTTATTGTGAAAGATTCATCCACAGTAAATAGTCTGCACTTCCCTGACTTACTGTGAAATCACTTTTGTTAGCTTGGGTTATTTCAAGGCTAAAGTTCTTAAAAGTTGTATTATTTCAAAAGAAAAAATTTTTCAAAAGGACAAAAATGGGATCTCTTTACCTTTTTGTGATGAATTGTAAAAGCCTTGAAAAGGGTGCCTTTCCAAAAGCAGAAGGGAATTTCTGGGAAGGGGTGTTTACAATAGAAATCACAGTTTTACAAACAGAAAAGCTGACCACAGAGTAATAAAGTGAGGCTATCACAAGACTGCAGTAAGAGGATCTTTAGCATTTGAGAGAAGAAAGGGTTTTTAAATGCTGTTTTGACTTTTTGTATGCATATTGTTGATGTTGCTATTAATAGTCTTTCATTGTCCATGACTAATGAGGTTCTTTTGGACAACAGAGCTCTTTATTAAAGTTTCAGCATTTAAACATCTCCTCAAGCACCCACAAGGCCCCCCAGCAAAACCAAAGAAAACAGGATATGGCATTCCTGACATTTCTAAGATTGAAAAGATAGAGGGAAGGGAGAGATTCTTTGACTCACATAGGGAAGAAAGTGGAGTAGAAATCTCACTACTGTATTAGCATACTTTATATGGAGCATCTTTTCAGCTAACTTGTGGAAAGTTTGGGTAATGAGTCTTGATCTTCCAAATATGTACTGAGGAACTACTATAGTTGTGAGATTTCTTGGAATTACTCTACTTGTCATTGTTGGCTCCACCATGCATCCTACTACCAGTATTTGACATTGTGGTGTTAGCTCACTGTGTGTTAGATGGTTTGGTTTTATTACACGAATTACTCATTTTCAAAAAAAAAAGTAAAAATCCACCACCCTGCATTTACTGTAACTAGTTTTCCCCTCCATCCCTCAGCTGAATATCTGGATGAGCAGTGCAGAGTACTGGGGAGGATCTCTCAGAAAATGAGAAGAAAAAGCCCTTGCTGTCAGTCAACCACCTCTTCCTTAATTCACAAAGTCTTGAAGCACCAAAACAGAGCTGTAAAAATAGCACAAACATGGTACAGTACTAGCACAAAAATAGCCTTCCTATGGGAAAAAGGGATAAAAAAGAAAGGAAATAATATGGGGAAATGGGAGCACAGAACAAACATGCTAGGCAATGAAATAAGTAATCCTTCTTGTGTCAAAGAGCTTTTCTTCTTTACCTCCTGATGGAAATGCTGAAGGGCAACCCTTGTACAAGGAGGAAGTGAGGTACTGAAGTTGGAAGGCATAAGAAGTAAGTTTTATTTTAGAGAAACTGAGTCTTGCTGACTATAGAAGGTCTAGAAAACTAGCCTTTAATTCCATGCTTCCCAAACTACTTACAGTTTGTGCCTGTAATTCAAAGAGGATTTTGAAATATTAGGGAAAAATATAATAAAAATTTTAATTAAAGCTTTTTAATGTTTCTATTTTATAAGAAGAACAATGTAATAAAACCAAATTATGCTGACACATCACTCTCAGAAGTTCTGACCCTATAGACTGGGAAATGAGAGCCAGCTGTAACGTCTGGCTGCAGGCATAAACATGTATTGCCACTGCCTAAGGTGAGATTCTCCAAGCATTTAGCTCTTCCACAGCTAGAGTTCAAGTGTTCAGGACTGACTTGTATAATTGTAACTGTTCTTGTATAATTTACTCTAGCCCTTGTGCCTCACATTGTTCATGAGCCAGGCATATGTCTGCTAGGAAGTGAGAGGCTGAGATATGGGAGTTAATCTTCCATTTCATTTTTAATGCACTGTGTAACATTTTCAGAGCTTTTAGAGGTTCAGACCTTCATTAGTTCAGATCATGTATTCATGGTTTTGGACCAGGTCACTGACCTGGAGGCCAGAAGATACCACATATTTATATGGCTTCTTGTCACAACTACTGACATTCATCCTGGGATCACTGTATTGAGCCCATGAACCAGTGCTCTTCGATTACAAGTTGAGGAATAAATACAGTTCCTAAAAAGTGAGGGTGGACCACAGTCTAATTTTTCTCCCATTGGACAAAGGTTAAAGCCCCTCTTGGCTTGGAGTTCAGTCTGATTTTAACCTGTTAGCCTTCTGGAGAACAGCAGCCATTTGGTACAGGAGGTGATATCTTTCTCTCTTCACCCAAATTCCGGTATAAGCTCAGGGACAGAGAAGAAAAGAGGGAACAGATGAAGGATCTCTAGTACACAGTGCTGTTCATATCCTCCAGCTTTCCTGTGGATGGAGTGGTTTCTCCTTCCTTCTCTTCCTGCAATGCCTGGCCAGCAAAAGAAGAGAGTCCCCTTCCTACTTCTTGCTCTTATTTAGGAAAAGAAGAGGAAGAATCTCTCGTCCCCTGTGAGCCCAGTTGTATAATAAATATGGGAGAAAACAGACCACGGACAGGTTTAATGGTGGAGTAGGAGAGCGGGCAGGAAAGAACATAATACAGCCATATTTATACAGATGAAAGATCTGTCTAGCACTGTAGCATGTTTCCAGCAGTGGCCAACAACAGATATCCAGGGAAACATACAGTTATTGTGATATTTCCCAGAATATTCATCCAGCACTAATCAACCAGAGGAGCAAGGTGGCTCCGAATCAGAGGTGGTATATCCAAATTTAGTAGCCCTTGACAGGCTTTTCTTCCATTAATTTGACCAGTCAGCTGTAGAACTCATGTAAACTTATGACACATGCAACATGCGTCAAGGAACCCCACACCTTGCAGAATGTTTTGTGAAGACAAACACTGTGTCCCATTCAAGTCTTGAACATTCCATTGGACAGTTTCTGTGGATGTGCCGTAGTTCTGATAGTGAAGAGATAGTAAACAATTCTTTAGTGTACTGTTATTTTACATATTTCTGCCATATTTCCTCCCTCAGCCATGTGTTTTACCAATCCTATGAAAGGAACCCTAATTTATTTAGTTGTTCCTTGTGCAATGGAAAATGGCACAACCATCCTGCTGTACCAGGTGATGGTTCAGTCTTGCCACCACTGCTGCCTCTTCTTCATATGTAAAGAACAGTTAGTAATATGTGACTTATATCTGAGTAAAAGATTGCTTCTAGTAAAGATTTTACCATTGACCTGGATTTCAGACTTAACCGACATAAAAAAAGGTTGTATCTTCCCTACTGAGAAGAAAATCAGAATTAGTGCTTGACAAAACAGCAGTCCCAAGTATTTTTCCTTGGTATCAGTAATTATGTTTGTACAAGAAAATTAAGTGAGCTGGGAACTGTGGTCTGGCCTTGAGGTTACATGGCGCAGCACAACTCACTGTTCAGATGAAATCTCCTACCCACTGGAACAGGATGACCATACCCAAACTGCCTTTTGGGAAAGGTCTTTGGCCCAGGCTATTCTTCAGACCTTTCCTGGCTACTATCTGGAAGAGTACTAGCTTGCACATGCTAAAATCACAGCTGAATCTGTACTAACAATACAAAAATATGGACAGTCCCAACACAGTGCTCAAGTTCATGCCCTGACTTTAATTTCATTGTGTAGCCACTCACTGTACAAAGCACAGGATACAGACAGTTGAATGACTACCTGTTCAACATCGTACCTTAAAATGGAACCTTCTCTGGTAGGGTCAGCATGCAGACAGGGCTGAATTCCCTCTCATTAGCAGTCCTGTCAGTGTAATGACCATCTGTCTTCAGCTGTCCTGGCACAGATGTTACCACTGCAACAGTAACAGACCTCTACTCTCAGCATTGTGAAAATATGGAGATTTTTCTAGCCTTTCAACAGGGAAGACTGAGTTTTTGTTACTAAGCACAACTTTTGGTGTACATCTCCACAGCTTTCCAGGGAAGGAGTTCTGTAAATTGTGTCATACTTACAGACACTCCAGATGTTATGTGCACAAATCTGTTCCTTTATCAACACAGACAGGGGTGATAACATGGTAGTCACTGCTTTGCAGGCTTGGAGATAGTGGGAAACTTTCAACCCTGGGAAGCAGCAGAGGCAGAAAGCTGTGCTGATCATCCTAACAGTTCTAAAGACATGCAGCTGCAGCTGCCCTCTCTCTGTGTTGGTGTTCATCACCTTCAGCCCCAAATAGAGTATTCTTCCCCACCTAGAAGGATTGCAGTGCCAAACAGTGGTGATGGTGGCAATTAATGGATGGATGCCCCCATCTTT